AAAAAAAAAAAAACCTCACGGCCATTGAGTCATTTCTGACTCTTAGTGACCCTCATTGAGTTTCTGAGGTGGTAAATTTTTATGGAAGTAGATTGCCCAACCTTTCTTCCGAGGAGTGGCTGGTGGGTTTGAACTGTCAGCTTGCTTGTGGTTAGCAGTCAAATGCCTTAGGCACTGCACCACCAAAGCTATACACACACACACACACACACACACACACACACACACTACAAGGAAATGGCTCATACAGTTGTGGAGGATGGCAAATCCCCAAATCTGTGGATAGGCTGGAGGCTGAAGGCTTCTCCCAACTCATGTGGTTGCAGGGACTGACAAATGTAAAATCAGCAGGTCAGATGACAAGCTGCTTGCTGGCTCATGTCCCAAGAAGCAGAGATCAGAGGATGACAAGTCAGATGCAGGATTGAGAATGTGTGTTCTTTGCCAGGACATATATTGGATGCAGGTCACACCCCAAAGGAACTCCCCTTTCAACTGCTCACATCAGATCACAACATGGAGGATGATTACATAATATCTACTAAACCACTGAGAATCATGCTTAGCCAAGGTGACACATAACCATAACCATCACACTGATCTATTCTTTATGTCACTTATCCACAGATCAGCCAAAACAGTCCTTTAAAAACTTCATCAGATCACCATTCTCCATCTCAAAACTCTTTCATGGAAAATAAATCTAGAATTCTAACTATGACCTCTGAGGTCCTACTCCTGCTACCCCATGCCCTCCCTCAGATCTCATCTCCTAACATTCTGACCCTTGTTTATGCTGATCTAGCTATAGGCCTCCTTGCCATGCCTCAGGCACAACAAGCACACTCGCATCACCAGGCCTGGAATGTTCTTCCCCGATCGTTACCTTTTTAATAGCATTTTTATTTTTTACATTGGCATTTTACTTGGCATTGTGTATTTATTTATAGATAATATTTCTCACAAGAATGTGAGGGTCATGAGAGAAACTGCCATGAGGCCAATTTCTATTTCCCTCAATTGACTGGAGCAAATCTGTAAAATAATTTATTTTTTCTCACTTGATATAAATGGCAGTTTCTAAGTTACTGTGGAGAAATGGTGCTTGCCTAGAAGCCAACTTTACAACTAATAGGGAAAAAATAAAGCATTTCATTAAGGAAAATATACACCTTTGTGTATAATCTATCATAGCTTTTAATCAGTTAATTAAGTACTTTTTTTTTTTTTTTAGCTCCTAGTACATTCCTGATACTGGACTAAATACTGAAGATTTCAAGTTCAAAGTGTAGCTTCTAGCCCTTAGCATCTGCAGGAGGCAGGTAAGGAAACATTCAGCCACAATGCAGTGTGGTAAATGTGGAGCTGTGTTCTAGCTGAGGTTTGAAAGAACATCTCCCAGCTGATTCATCCTGGAGTGTTTGTAGATCTCCATCCCCTTTAGACATTTTCTTCACAGCTCTCCTGTAGATTGTGTGGTACATGCATGTGTATGTGGGCCTGCATACACATAGACATATCTCCCTGTATCTCTTCTTTGCAACCACCTCCCTCTTTACTTCCTTAAGACAGATTCATTTGAAAAGGACACCTTGATGATAACAGTCATTTTTGGAAGGCTTTAAAATCTATTAAAATGCACCCTTCACCCAATCTGTACCTGGTAATGTTGGAGTAACTGTGGAACTGTCTGTCTTCACTCCATGGGCATGTATTGAGTATGGCCTTGTGGCCATGTTTTTAAAGATAATTTTCACTATGTCTTTTACATCTGCATGAAGTTGTGGACCTGGTGGGAGTGAAAAGGAAGAGCATCTTGATTATCTTGTCAGATTGAAAGTTTTAACTCAACAATAAAAGCAGAGATCTGCCGACTTTCTTAGCATGAAAGCTGGTGTCTCTGGTCCTTTCCATGCTTCTTAAATTTTTACCTGATCCCTGAGGATTTAGAATATAAATGCTTTAAGTGGCTGCCTCTAAAGATGGAGACCATAGGTGTATCTCTTATCAAGAGCTGTAGTGAAAGTTTTGGTCAGAAAGTCCCCTTCAGGGTCAAGATCTAAAACGGTGAATTGGCTGTGGACCTACCACAGCCAACAATCATTTGTAGCACTTCCTCTCATTTCTGAGAGCTTTGGGTTTCCATATTTAGGACACTCCATATTTGAAAGTGTGAGCTACCCCACCCATTTCTCCCTGCCAGCCAATCACAGCTTGTCTCCTACCTGGTTGTTGTTAGGTGCTGCTGAGTCAGTTTTGACTCACAGTGACCCATGTACAACAGAATGAAACACTGCCCAGTCCTGTACCATCCTCACAATCTTTGCTATTCTTGAGCCCATTGTTCCAGTCACTGTGTCAATCCATCTTGTCAAGGGTCTTCCCCTTTTTCTCTGACCCTCTATTTTATCCAGCATGATATCCTTCTGTAGGGAGTGGTCCCTTCTGACAACATGACCAAAGTATGAGAGACGAAGTCTGGCCCTTCTTACTTCCAAAGAACATTCTGGCAGTACTTCCTAGAAGACAGATTTGTTCATTCTTCTAGCAGTCCGTGGTATGTACGGTCAATATTCTTCACCAGCTCTACAATTCAAAAGGATCACTTCTTCTGTGGTCTTCCTTACTGACCAGCTCTCACATGCATATGAAGTTACTGAAAACACCATAGCTTGGGTAAGGTGCACCTTAGTCTTCAAAGTGCTATAAAGAGGTCTTTTGCAGCAGATTTGCCCAGTGCAATATGTCATTTGATTTCTTAACTGCTGCTTCCATGGGCAAGTAAAATGAAACCCTTGACAACGTCAGTCATTGGGTATTTATCAAGATGTTGCTTACTGGTCCAGTTGTGAGGATTTTTGTTTTCTTTATGTTGCTGTGTGATCCATACTGTACTCTCTGATCTTCATCAATAAGTGCTTGAAGTCTTGTTCATTTTCAGCAAGCAAGGTTGTGTCACCGCAGATTGTTAATGAGTCTTCTGATCTTGATGCCATGTTCATTCTTTTTTTATGTAATCCGGCTTCTTTGATTTTTTGCTCAGCATACAGATTGAACAAGTATGGTGAAAATATACAATCCTGACACACATTTTCCTGATTTTAAACCATGCAATATCCCCTTGTTCTGTTAGAATGATTGCCTCCTGGTCTGTGTACAGGTTCCTCATAAGCACAACTGAAGTGTGCTGGAATTCCCATCCTTCTCAGTGTTATCCATAATTTGTTATGATCCACACAGTCGAATACCTTTGCATAGTCAATAAAATACAAGTAAACATCTTTCTGGTATTCTTTGCTTTGAGCCAGATGACATTAGCATTTATAGTCTTCGGTCCACCCCATCTTCTGAATCTGTCTGGAATTTCTGAAAGCTCCCTATGAATATACTGCTGCAACCATTTTTGAATTATTTTCAGCAAAATTTTACTTGCATGTGTTATTAATGATATAGTTTGATAATTTCTGAATTCTGTTGATTCTATTGGATCACCTGTCTTTTGGAATGGGCACAAATATGGATCAGTTGGCTAGGTAGTTGTCTTCCAAATTTCTTGGCATAAAAAATTGAGCACTTCTAGCACTGCACCCATTTGTTTACACATCTCAGTGGCTATTCTATCAATTCCTGGAGGCTTATTTTTTGCCAGTTCTATCAGTACACCTAGGATATCTTCCTTCAGTACCTCTGGTTCTTGATTATATGCTCCCTCCTGAAGTGGCTGAATATCAACCAATTCTATTTGGTACAGTGACTGTGTATCCCTTCCATCTTCTTTTGATGCTTCCTGGATTGTTAAGTATATTGCCATACTAGTCCTTCAGTATTAAAACTTGAGGCTTGAGTTTTTTCTCAGTTCTTTCAGCTTAAGATATGTCGAGTGTTCTTCCCCTTTGGTTTTCTAACTCCAGGTCTTTGCATATTTCATTGTAATACTTTACTTTGTCCTCTTGAGATGCACTTTGGAATCTTTGTTCAGATATTCTACTTCATCATTTCTTCCATTTGCTTTAGCTATTCTCCTTTCAAGAGCAAGTTTCAGTCTTTTCTGACATCCATTTTGGACTTTTCTTCCTTTCCTGGCTTTTTAATGACCTTTGCTTTCTTCATGTGTAATGTTCTTGATGGCATCCCACAACTCATCTGGTCTTCGGCCACTGCTGTGCAATGCATCAAATCTACTCTTCAGATGGTCTCTAAATTCTGGTGGGATAAAGTAAAGGTGGTATTTTGGCTCTCACAGACTTGTTTTAATTTTCTTCAACTTCAACTTGAACTTGCACATGAACAGTGATGGTGTGATCCACAGTCAGACCCTGACCTTGTTCTGACTGATGATATTGAGCTTTTCCATCACCTCTTTTCACAGAAGTAGTCAATTTGATTCCTGTGTATCTCATCTGATGAGATCCACATGTAGAGTCACCATTTATATTGTTTAAAAAAGGTATTTGCAATGAATGAGTCACTGCTCATGCAAAAGTCTATCATGGCATCTCCAGTGTCATTTCTATCACCAAGGGCATATTTTCCAACTACTGATGCTTCTTCTCTATTTCCAAATTTCACATCCCAATCACCAGTAATTATCAGTACATCTTGGTTGCATATTTGGTCAATTTCAGACTGTTGAGATTGGTAAAAATCTTTAATTTCTTCATTTTTGGCTTTAGAATTTGGTGTGTAAATTTGAAAAATAGTCATATTAACTGGTCTTTCTTGTAGTCATATGGATATTATCTTATCAGTGACAGTATTGTACTTCAGGAGAGATTTTGAATTTTTTTTTTTTTTTAATGATGAATGTGATGCCATTTATCTTTAATTTGTCATTGCTAGTGTAGTAGACCATATGATTGTCTGATTCAAAATGGCCAGTACCAGTCCTTTTCAGTTCACTAATGTCTAGGGTATAGATCTTTATGTATACCATTTTATTTTTGACAACTTCCAATTTTCCTGGATTCATACTCCATGCATTCCATGTTCCAATGATTATTTGCAGCTGTTTTTTCTCATTTTGAGTCATGCCACATCACCAAATGAAGGTCCTGAAAGCTCTACTCCAGCCACATCATTAAGGTCATCTCTACTTTGAGGAGGCAGCTCTTCCCTAGTCATATTTTGAGTACCTTCCAACTTGAGGAGCAGCTCATCTTCCTGCACTATATCAGGCAATGTTTCCCTATCCATAGTTTTCAGTGGCCAATTTTTTTTTTTTTTTTTTTTCCCCAGAAGTGAACCTGGCCACATTTTTCTTCTTAGTCTGTCTTAGTCTGGAAGCTCTACTGAAACCTGTCTGCCATTTGGTGGCCTGCTGGTATCTGAAATACTGGTGACATAGCTTCCAGCATCATAGTAACATACAAGCTACCATGGTACAACAAACTATAGGTGGTCCTACCTGGTAGTGATCCAGAAACTATGGCAGTACCCCCCCTGCCTTGGAACCTGGAGTCCAGGATAACTAAGGCCCATGGAGTTAGGGTCTTGGAGTATGAAAATCAAGGGGTTCAGGGGTGGGGGTAGGTTATGTTCTTTGCAGTTGATGATATTCCAGAAAATTCCCAAGGACAGTGTTTGTTGAATTTTTTGACATTCTGTCTTAAAGTGATCCTTGAAAAATCTAAGGTGGCTTTTCACCTGCCTTGTGCCCACTAACATTTTTTTTTGTTTTTTTATTTCTTATATGCATATTTGTTCTGTAATTAATCATACTTACATCTTAACTTAAAAAGTAAACAAATAGCTATGATTATTTAGCTTTTTGGCTGCGAATAATGGGGGAGAATTAGTTAAGAACTTCATTAGAAAGTAATTTCTAGGAATTTCATCAAAAACATAGATGTCAATTTGATAAAGATCAAATATGTAAAATTTTATCAGTATGTGGGATAACACATTGTTTCTGACTAAAATGAATAATATTTATTATGCCAAAAGAATATATTTAAATAAAGCATATTTACTTCTTGTCTTGTATACTTTTATTTTTATTAAATACTTCCCCACCCCCAAAAAAAAACCAAACTCACTGCCATCAAGTTGATTCTGACTCATAGTGACCCCCATTGGGTTTCTGAGGCTGTAAATCTTTACGGAAGTAGACCATCCCATCTTCTTTCCACAGAACAGCTGGTGGGTTTGAACCGCTGACCTTCCAGTTAGCAGCCAGGTGCCTTATCCACTCTGCCACCAGAGCTCCTTTTATTAAATAGCTTTGATATATGAACTGAGAAAGTGAAGCCCATTGACAAAGACTGTCACTGCACACCTTACCCACACCTTATGAATTGGAGTTGTTAATGTACCTAGAATTCCCAGGTGTTCTTCCTCCGCTTTTCTTGCCACTGGAACACTGAATGTGTTATCAGTGTACTGCCGGTACACAACTTTCTTGTACTTTGAGCCTATGTAAAAATCTTCCTTATCTAAAAATGCATTTGAAACACTTTAAAAAAAAAAGAAAAAAGATAAGATTAGTACATGTCTTAATGAAAATGAAAGTTTTAAGCTTTAAAATTTGAACAAAAATATAGCTTTTACTGAAGTAACTTTGGTAGTTTTTAGTCATCACTTTCCCATCCCAGCAAGAAAGAATAAAACTTTATAAACTAAGTGTGGTGGAAAGATACCTAGCTAGTAGTGGAGCCATCCGAGTCTTTAAGGTTGGGCAATCTACGTCTGTAGTAATATCGCCTCAGAAACCCAACGAGGGCTCGCTATGAGTTTTTTTAATTGCAGCTACTGTTAAATGCAATGATCTATTGCTCTACATCTTACATCTCTGAAAAGGAAACTTAAAATTCCAGCTGAGCAAATTGGAAATCAGATCCTGGGGAATTACTTTTGTTCTTGTAAATGATGCAGCTCCTTTTCCCATTCTCTTTGTGGAGAATAATCCCATTCCACCTCCACTGCTGCGATGTAGTAGGTCCTCTCTCCTAGGTAGTAGGTTGAATCCTCTGACGACCGGCTGCATTGGTTCACAGTATATTTTTGCTTCATGCCGCCTGTGTAGTGGTCGGTTGTGAGACACTCAATATCAAAGGTCCCTGGAGTGGCAAAGAAGACAGCATGTCACTTCTTTGCTTACTGCCCTCTATGGTTCCACACCTCACTCAGACTCAACACCAGAGTTCTTAGCCTCACCTCCATTAGATCATCTGACTTCTCATACCTCCGATCACATAGTCTACCAGTCTGCACACTCACTCTTGTTCTAGCCACATAAGCCTCTTTGCCGTTGCTAGAACAGGTCAAGTATGTGCTGCCTCAAAGCCTTCCCACTTGTTGATTTCTCTGCCTGGAACACTTCTCCTTGAAATACCCGTATGGCTGACAACTTCACTTCGTTCAGGTGTCTCCTTAATTGTCACTTCCTCAGATAATCTTGACCCCCACCCCCTCTTAGTCACTATCCTCTTCCCCTGTCTTACATTTCTTCATAGTATTTACAGCCATTTTGCACATATTATTAATTTACTTATTTTTGGTCTGTCTTCCTGTTTTAGAATTTCAGTTCCATGAGAGCAGACACATCTCCTTCATTCACTGTTGTATTTATATTTTTTGAACGAATGAAGGAAAACAGGACACAGGACCCATCTTAAGTTTTAGTGGTACATAATGAACCAAAGCCTGAAGCAAGTTACCATATCTTTCACATTTTGGTTGAAATTCCTTCCTTTTGGTTTTACTCATTTAGAGCCAGACCTATGGTGTCTTTTAAGTTGCGTGGCTATAGGTCTAATATAAGATAGTCAATTGCAAGCAACTAGCAAGGCAACAGTAAGACCAGTTAGTATTTACACTACATCTAAGCTATGGAGAAATGAGGAAAAGCTTAGATGCAGAGCCTTTATAGAAGTCGTTCTCCTTCTAGTTTGATTTGCCTGCTACATTTTAAAGGACCATAATTTCATAGGGGATTGTGTTGAGAACTCTACTGTGTGGAAATGGGGAACACCACACTCCTTTCTTTCTTCAGCTCTCCAACCCAACAAACAGGAAATGGATCTATCTGTCATATACTTCAGCAGACAACTGAGCCAGATGTGCTCTTCAAGGGAGGGAAGGGTACTTAGGAGGCTTGGGGAAGAAATAAGCTTATTACTCAATATGTTCTCCACAGGATTTAAAACCCAAACCATACAATTCATCCAATAGAGTCTTATCTTGGTCTTAAAGAAATACACCTTCTGTGTCAGGTTGCATGAAGAGTGTAAGAGTTGTTTGAGGGAAGAGGTTGGCTGTGTCTCTCCTTTCTTCTCTTGACAGATAGGTATTTCCTGAAAAGTATATCCCATGTACATCAGCCTCATTGCCAGCACTGAATAAGTACCAAACAATGGAATCTCCTTTGCACATATTGAGACCAGGCTGATTTCCATACATGAATCCATTTATGGCTGTAAAAGTTGGAAAAATAACATTTTGAATACAGTTTATTTTATGTCTTATTATGAAACAATCTCCCAGACCTCCCAGAGCCAACTTTGTGTTTAATTATAAAAGACCTATTTGGGTCTGCCCCCCTTTATGTTTGAGAATGTCTGCTGCTCCTTGCTGTAGTCAGCACTTCCAGAGCAGCCCTGGCTGAAAGGAGCAGAGCTGAATGCCTGGTTCTTGAAGTTCTGCACCAGTGTCCCTGAAAAAAAAAAAAAAAGCCAAACTCACTGCCATTGAGTCAATTCTGACTCATAGCAACCCCATTTGGGTTTCCGAGACAGTAAATCTTTAAGGAAGTAGATTGCCCAGTCTTCCTTCCGAAGAGTGGCTGGTGGATTTGAACTGCCAACCTTCTGGTTAGCAATCAAATGCCTTAGGCATTACGCCACGAGAAATCTCACTCGGTTCTTCTCAGCTACCCACTCCTCAAAAGGAAGTTTGGGCAATCTACTTCTATAGTGATGCTGCCTTGGATACCCAAGGAGGAGTAGCTATGGGTCAAAATAGACTCCATGGCATTGAGAGTTGAGCCACTTCTCAGGTCTTCCACTGGTCATTTTGGTGAGCACCAAATCTATGACTAATAACAGCTTTTCCTGGGTACTATAGACTAAGAATGTGTTTGTTGCATAGATGCGTAGCTGGAAAATTCTCTGGTTCATTTTGAATTACAGGGAAAAATATACGCAGGAAGTTTTATCTCACTGCTTTTTCCACTGGATAGTATTCTTGACCCTCTAAAATACAAAAATACAGAATCAAGTCAAATATTTTAAAGATTGTGGTTTGTGTAATTAGTACCCATTCAGCTAAAAAAAAGAAAGAAAAAGAAAGCACCAATTTGCAAGACAACTTTACGTTTTTTTTCTTCTATAAGCTACACTAATTTTCACATATTGTCTATAAGTCATGTGGGTCTTTTGAACAATTAATTTACTATCTCTAAACCTTGACCATGTTTTAGAATTACACTGGGGGCTGAAAAGTAGATCTGATGCCAGTCATCGGTTAAATAAAAATGTCTGGTGGTCCTGGACATGATTATTTTTTAGCTGCCAGGTGATTCTAGTATGTAGTCAAGGGTGAGACTCATTGAAGTTTGTTGATAGCAGAGAACTTATCTTTATACAAATTGCATAATAAAAATGAGCCTTTCATTACTGAGCCACAGATAAGAAAAAAATCAAATCCAGTACTTCTTAAAGTTGTGTATACATCAGAATCACTTGGTTTGTTAAATACACATTTTTGGGGCCCACCACCACAGTTTCTGATTTAATAGGTCAGGATGGGAATTTGCATTTCCAACAAATCTTTAAGTGATGCTGATATTGCTGGCCCAGGGACCACACATTGAAAAGGACTTACTTAATCAACGTATTTTGTATGTCTAATTATTCCCAACTGACATGATGAGTAATTGACCGATACACTAAATAACCAGTGATATTACCCTTAGATCAGTATCATATTTAATCTTTTATTGAAATTAAGGAACAAAGTTTTTCAAGGAGCTTTTGGGTTTAATAAAAGCATCACATATGCAGTACTGAAAGATTATGACAGATTGGTGGATGATTTAGTACTTACAGTGCATCTTATTAGATTCTTGAAAGTCTGCATTTTCCTTATCCACCTGATCAGGAGCAGTTGTAAACATTCTAATATTATCATCCAGGAGCAAACTTTCATTCTCATCAAACACTGTGGGAAACAAATAGAACTCCTTGTCTACGTCTTTCTGTAAATCAAAACAAGAACAACGGGATGAGAATAAGTAAAGTAGAAAGACTTCCATGTATACATTACTATTTGCACACAAACACACTAAAGGAAAGATAAGAATAGAAGTTTCAGTTCCTCTTTGTAAACTCAAGCTCAGAAATATTCCTTTGACTATGACAATATTCATTAATGTATGTGTAATGGAGTTTTGATTCACTCTGATAATTCGTGCCTCTCTGAATCTAGATGTTCTTACTCTTCTCTCTCTAACTGCCTGCTTTCCCTGTGCATACCAATTAAAATGACCACCAAAAAAATTAAAAAAGATAACATGGAGGATGAGAGGACATGCGTCTGTGTTGGAAATCAGTGAAGGCACCATCCATATTCATGAAAATTCAAAGAATTCATGTAAACCTGAGCAGGTGGAAGCAGATTGACAGAGGAATCATCTAAGTGAAGAAATTCCCTTCCCAGTGAGTTGGAACAAGGATCCACACCATCTACATCCATCTGGACAAACACACTCCCCACCCCCACACTCCACATTCACTGCTTTGGTGAAAAAAAAAATGAGGAAGCAGAAGTGCTATCTTGTTTATGAAATGATTCAGTGATTGACATCCATCTGAGGAATAAAAGCAGACAAGCCCCTCAATGAGTCACTTCTTCAAAGCAGAAAAAATTTTAAAAATACCTTAACTTATATTCTCAACAGGGTGCAAAAGATTATTACATGTCTTTTACGTGTAAGATGAAAAGATTTTTAAAAAACCCAACTAAGATAGAGATTTGAAGAAAAGATCCTGTAGAAAATGAAATCAATGAATTGGAAGATGAACTTAAGAAAACTACTAACCATTAGAGGAAAAGATTCAAAGATGAAAAACACCCATAAAGTAGTAATTTTAGAAAGAGGAAAATTGTGAAAGAGGGTGATACAATGTTAAGAAATAATACTTTCCATCATAAAGGAAAAAGACTAGCATATTCAGATTCCAAAGTTCCCTGAAAACAAGGCAAAATTAGTGATAGAAAATTATACCTAAACAAATTCTGGTAAAATTTTAAATTTCAAAGATAGGAAAAATTTCCACAATAATCTATTTAAAAAAATATTATCATAAAATAAAAAAAGTCAGATAGACTTTTCTAGTACAATAAATGTCAGAGAAAAATGGAGTATTAGCTACATTTTGAGGGGAAAAGATTATGATAAAAAAAAATCTATACTAGGCAAAAGCAACAAAAAGATATTTTCAGATGTGTCAGATTCCAATAGGGGACTGTTATCCTCATTTACATTCTGACCTACAGAGAAAACGTCAACAAAATTTTATAGGACATTCTTTGATTGCAAAACTGTAAAACTACAAATCACTAATGAAAAGACAAAAGAGTTTGCAAAATTTAAAATACAATTCTGAAGGTCAATGTTGTGTGTCAACTTGGCTAGGCCATGATTCTCAGTGGTTTGGTATTTATGATGTAGTCACTCCCCATGATGAGATCTGATATAATGTAATCCTCCCCATGATGAGATCTGCTATGAGCTGCCAATCAGTTGAAAGGGAGTATCCTTAGGGCATGTGGCCTGCTTCCAATATATATGGACAATCTGGCAAAACTTTCTGGCTTTTTGCTCAATCTGGATCCTGCATCTGCACCATGTGACTTGAACAAGTAGCCTGCTGTATTGCCTACCAATCTTGGATTTGTCGGACTTCACAGTTAGCAGCCAACTGTATTGCCTACCAATCTTGGGTTTGTCAGCCCTTGTAGCTATGTGAGTCAGGAGAAGCCACCAGCCTGATGCCTGACCAATAAACTTGGGATTTGCCAGCCTGTACAACCATGTGAACCATTTCCTCGAGGTAAATCTCTCTTTCTAGATATATATAAGCTTCACTGATTTTACTTCTCTAGAGAACCCAGCCTAAGACAACTATTCTTGATCCAAACAATTCTTAAAGGGGGTAAAAACCTGAATTACTAACTATTTGATAGTATCAGTGAGAACACTACAATCAAAATACAGTCAAATGTACAGAATATAGCTAAGCATGTAAGTGTGAAGCCTAAAATCATCTATTTTAAACAAGACTTGAAAAAAATAAATGTAAATATCTAAAAATTTTAGAAAAATGAAATGAAAAAGAGGAAAGAAATTAATAAAGACAAGGGTAGAATTTAATACATTAAACTACAAAATGGCTAAATCTAAAGATGACAGGTCTAATGAAAAAGAGAGAGAACCAAAATACACTATATTAGAAATGAGAAAGGAATATAACCCCTTATTGGGGGGAGAAAAAACATAGGACTGTTATGGACAGTAAGTACCCAAAAAAACTCACTGTCATCAAGTCATTTCCAACTCATATTGACCCCCATTGGGTTTCCAAGGCTTTAAATCTTTACAGAAGATTGGGTCAGAAAATTGAGTCAGAAAGAGATACCTGAATAGATCATTAACCATGGGTGAAACAAAAATGATGATAAAAAAGTAAAAGCATAAATAACAAAAAAAAAACCAGCTACTTCTTTCAAAAAAAAAAAAAATCACAAAGTCAAATTAATTCTATAGGCAAATTCTTTCAAATTCTAAGGAGCTGATAGTTCCCAGCTATTTAACATTGTTTCCACAGTGTTAAAAACATGGAAATCTTCCCAACGTATTTAATGAAGATAACTTAATTATGATATTAAAACCTGAAAAAGAAAAACAAACAAAAAAACTAAACTAATCTCACTTATTTTAGTGAAAGATTCTAAATAGAAAACAGTCAAACTGAATTAAAAAAACACATTAAAGAAAAAAGTACCATACTCAAGTAAAGTTTTTCCATAAAAGTGGAAGGATGATTCAACATTAGGAAATCCTTAACATAGTTGGTCACATTTATAGGTCCGAGGAGAAAATATATATTATCACCTTAAGGAAATCTGAAAAGGAATATTATGAAATTTGACATTCTGGCACATGTTACTGTCTTTGATCTTCCCACAGATCTTTGCCTCCTTCTGAAATGTAAGACTTGGTTCAAATATTACTTCTATCTTATTTGAACTAGATTTCGGTTCACTGGTAGCATAGTGGCTAAGGCACTTGCCTGCTAACCAGAAGGCTGGCGGTTCAAACCCACCAGCCACTCCTCGGAAGGAAGGTTGGGCAATCCTACTTCCGTAGTGATACTGACTCGGAAACCCAAGGAGGGGTCGCTTTGAGTCGGGGGCGACTCGACGGCAAATAACAACAACAACAACAATATCACATCTCGCTATTTTTTCTTCCTTGAAGCACTTGAACTTTCTGATGTTATCTATTTGACATCAATTTTGTTTGCTTAACACACGCACACACAGACCCTATGCTAGAGTAAGAATATCATCTGTCTTATTTACCAATGGATTGTATTCCTAGCTAAGGTAGCTCAAGTGATTAACTTTTTAAAAAAATTCTGAATATAAACTTTTTTTTTTTAACAAAATTACATTTGCTTTAGAGCTTATGAGGAAAACTGAGAGATTGTCATTGTATACCACATCACAGAAGATTATTTTCCCATTAGCTATGTTCATTCCTCCAGAACTCATCATCTTGCAGGCCAGCACTCATACTCTTCCCTTAAATATTTTGCCATTGGCATCTTGTCTTTAGCTTTCATAAGGTGATTAATTTTTAAATATTAAAACATTCTCAGTAAACTAGAATAAAGAATATCAACTAATAGCCAATATCATTCTTAATGGTCAAATAATAAGGTAATTTTCATTAAGATCAATGCAAATCCAGAAAAATTGTCCCTTAAATACAATGATGACATTAAGATTTTCCCAGATAAAAAGAAATGGAAGCATTTGCCTAGTGATAAAGCTCAGAAGGCAAGTAGGAAAGGAAGAGAAAGATGAAGGACAATGGTAACCACAGGGAGGAAGTGGAAAGAGTGCTGCTACATTGTGGGACTGCAAACGATGCCACAAAACAAAGTATGTATGAATTGTTGAAAGGAAAACTAGTTTGCTCACTAAAGTTTCAGCCAAATTATAATAAAAAACAAATGAAACAGAAACAAACAAACAAACAAAAGACCATACACAAAAGAAGGACATTGGTTATTACCAATTTTGCTTAACATTATCCATATGCTGCCCATTTCTATGACAAGAAAAAAGCACAAAGTTGAAATACTGGCAAGGCCAGGACAATTAACATTATTTGTGGGTAATACAGAACTGACAGGAACCAGGTAGAAACAATTTGAACTAAAAAATTACATGGAGGTTTTCAGTTACAAGAGAAATACTAAGCAATTAAAAATATATATTATTATAAATAATTAGAAAATATAATGTATAAAATTAACAGAAAAAACAAACTGAACAAAAGGAATAAATTAAACAGAGAAATACAAGATTTTATTAAAAAAAATTATTAAATAGATGACTGAAATGAAAGGATTCTCTTAATATAAGGCAAAATATAGTTAAATGATCAATTCTCTCCAGCTAAAATTATACATTTAATTATATTACAATCAAAATACTTATGGTAGCTTTTTAAGTTGACAAAATTATTTGAAAATTGATCTGGAAGAATATGTATGTGAAGGTACCTAAGGATAATTTAAAATTGATAAATAATGAGATAATAGCTTCTGTTGAGATTTACAGCCTTGGAAAGCCATGAGGGTCACTATGAGTGGGAATTGACTCAATGGCAGTAAATTTTTTTTTTTTTGAGGTAAATATGTTCTAGTATATATTAAAAAGGTATGAATGTATAATAATAAAAGCAGCTGTTGTGACAGTTAAATGGTAGACTAGAAAACCTAGAAAAAATGATCCAAATAGATATAAAATTTAGAATGTGATAAAGATGACAATTCAAATCAGCAAGTAAAGAGTAGAATGGTCAGTATATAATGCTCAGATAATCTTCTAGTTGTTAAGGGAAAAACAAACAACCACAACAAAAAATTTAGAGCTCTTATTCTCACCAAATTCAAAATTAGT